GTCTGGGACTTGAACTGTGATCGACTATATGGGAGTCTAGCAATATAGCCATTATACCATCTGCTGGTCCCAAGTTTTTAATGCATGGGTCTTACACAAATTTTATCAGATATATCCCTAGATGTTAATATGTATATTAATGCTATTGTAAATAGTACTGTTTCTTACCTGTCTGATTATTTAAAAAAATTTGATACCTATATGTAGAAATAAAATTGATTACTGCATATTTATTTTGTATCATGCAAACTTGCTAAACTCGGTTTATTAGTTTATTAGTTCTAGTTGCTCTTTTTTTTCTTTTTTAATGTTTTTGCCATAGGGTATGTGTAATTGCCAGAGAGAGACAGAGAGAAACAGTTGGGCAGTGAGAAATTACCCCCCAGGGGGGATGGCCACACCACAATCCCTTCTCCTCCAGTCTCCTCTAGGGCTTATTGGGTATGCATGCACATGCATCTGGTATGATTTTCAAGCCACTGGGTCCAGGACATGAACCACAGTCGACCACGAGAGAGTCCAGCTCCTTAACCACTAACCACTATGCCACCTGCTGGACCCTCTAGTTACCTTTTATATTGATTCAATGAGCTTTTTTTTTTTTTTTCAGAGATGATTATGTTGTTCATGAATAAAACTTTATTCCTTTCTTTCCAATTTGAATGGCATTTTCCCTTTGCCTTATTGCACTGGCAAGACCAGAACAGCATTTAGTCTAGTGCTAATTTTTCCCCACAGTTAAAGCAAAGTTTTTTGTATATATCATTTAATTTCTTATTAGTTAGACTTCTTTTCTGTTACAGGTTGGAACAGCCACTATGTTACATTCTATAAAAATACAGAACTTGTTCTCTTTAATCCATTCAGGTGTTTCTTTATGTAACCTCAGCTAGTTTTGTTTCTTTCCGGAGAGACAGAGACAGAGAGACAGAAAGCAAGAAATCACCCCCCAAGGAGGATGGCCACACCACAATCCCTTCTCCTCCATTCTCCTCTTGGGATCTTAGGCATGTACCCACACGTGCCCGGGGTGAGTTTAAGCCACCGGGTCTGGGACTCGAACCACAGTCGGCCACATGGGAGTTCAGAGACATAGCCATTATGATGCCTCTGGGACTTTGAACTGCAGTTGACTACGTGGGAGTCCAGTGACGTAACCATTATGCCATCTGCTGGTCCCAGCTAGTTTCTTCATATTCAGTTTTCAGCTGAATTTCCAAAGGGATCCTCTGTACATCTTCAGAATTCTCTCTGTGTGCAGCTCTTTCCTCTCTATTAACTGTGAACTCTTGCTCCATTTATGCCCAGGTTCACCTCCTCAATTTGGCAACATTTCTGGTCTCTACTTGGTACCACACCTTGCATTTTGACCCAGAAACTTTCTCTAGACAATAAGATGGAAATTTCTTGTTCGTTTTCAATCTTTCTGTGATAATTTTCTTTTGTTACCTGATGTCCAATGTGTATAAAACCATTTTTTGGTGTATTTTGTCCTATATCATAGTTATCTTAGGTAAGAGAGTAAATTAGGATATGAAGCATAAATGCAGTCTGCCTGAATTCTCAGCAGATTAAGATCATATCTATGAGGGCTCCTTTAAAAGTAAGTCACTACATAGATACATGATATTTATTATAGCTCATTCAGCAATAGGCCATGTATGTATCAGTTACCTATTTTATATATGATTATACATAGTTCCCAGGGATATGTATATAAATTTACTAGAAATCAAGTTTCTAAATCAATGCTTTATGCAGCTAGAAGAAATAATTAGAAACAAGTGTCTAACATTCCTCCAGTTATTGCATTACAGTGTTAGCATCTTGCCTGGAATCACTTGAATTAAGTTAAGTCGAACACTTTAATTTCTACTTTTACTGTTTTCTGAGTTCTCTTACTGCATAGAAGCTGACACTCACAAGGCTATTCCTTGTATATAGCTATAGACTTAGTTATTTCTGAATATTTATATATTCTGTTAAACTGAATTTGGCCTGAGGATAAGTCTGCGTTTTGAATCCCTAAGTAATGAATTGCCACCTAACTTAGTAAATAACCTACTGAAAGCCTAACAAGGGAGTATACTTTTGTAACGAATAGCTAAATCTTAACCAATAACAGATGAGTAGACCACTGATCAGACCATGTCCAAATAAATGCTGAGCTATAACTAATCAAGCTGTTTCTGTACCTCATTTCTGCTTTCTGTACCTAAATGCTGTCTGCCCACACTGCAGAGCCGAACTCTGTGAACCTCTTCTGGTTCTAAGGACTGGTTCAGGAGTTGTTCTTTACTCAAGCTATAAATTGAACTTTTCTGAAGTCTGTTTGAACATATTTCAGACTCTGTCTTGACCTTTCCATCATCCTCCAGGGAGACTCATCAATACCAGGCTTTTTTTTTTTTTTTTTTTAAATTTGTAGAGGGTGCATGCACTTGGCAAAGTGAGAGACAGATTAAGAGAGAGAGAGTGAAAGAGAGAAAGTCCCCTTTCCCCACTCTGCCCCCACCCAGTACAGCATGGTCATGCTGCAATCCCTTCTCTATTTCTCATCCTGTTGGAATTTTGGGCACACAGGCACATACACCCAGTGTGGTTTTCAAGCCACCAGGGCTTGGATTTGAACTGAGTCAGCTTTGTGGGATCTGTCTCCCTTAATCTCTAGGCTATAGGGTCAGTCCTCATTAACTTTCATTAACAAGACAGACTAGGATAACAGAAAACAAATGAAGTTGTTAATAACCTATAATAATATCTATGATTTTTTCGAGCACCTACCATATGCCATTGTCTGAATATATTTTCTCTATTTCTCCTAAAACTACTAATCATGAGGAAGGCCTTGAGGAATCAGAGAAGGCCTTGCAGAAGAGGTGATTTCTCAGGTAAGTCATGAAAGATGAGTAAGAGTTAGGTGAAATGAGACAAGAAACAGGGGACTAGACTAGTGTTCCAGACAGAGAGAAGGGCATATAAAAGGGCCTGGAGGCAAGAAAGAATGTTAGGAATTTAGTTCAGCCTTGCTGAAAAACAAAATAGAAAAAAAGGGTGTGGGAAGAAGATACGGGAACAGATGAGAGATGGAAAAGATGAAATGGAAGTTAGAACAGACCATGATGGGTTTTGTCAACATTACTGAGGGCTTTTAACTTTTTTCCTGACATTAATGGGAAATTCCCATTGCATTTTTGGCATATTACTTATAGTGAAGAAAATGTGTTGAGGTAAAATTGAGTTAAAGCTATGGAGGTGAAGAAAAGTGTATATTCAAAAAATGTAATTATTCATGCACTCCCTCAGCCACTTACGCATTCAACAAATTCATTGACTGCCTACTACATGCTAGGCTGTGACTAAGTATTTGTTAAACAAATATAAATTAATTACTACAAATAATTACTGAGCACTTAATATGTGCCATACATTGTATTAAGTGTTTTATAGAAACATTAATATTATCTTTCAATAGGTAAGGAAACTGATGTAAAAAGAGGTCAAGCATGACGATGTTATATATTAGTAAATGGCAGAGGCAGAATTTGATCTTAGGTCCATTTGACATCCTGTTAGATTTGGCTGTTACAACTGTTGTTTCATGCATGCATATTTTACTTAATACCTTTTAAAATCCAAAGAAAAACTAATATTTAGAATTAAAATTTTAATTTTAATCAGCAAAATACATGCCAATAAATAAGTTGCCTTTGCTTTGTAGATGAGGAATAATTTTATTTAATTTTTCATGAGTATTTAGGTAAAATTTGGAGCACTCAAGTTCCAAATAAATTTGCATTCCCAAGACTTACATAGATTTTTTTTCTCATTCTGTGTGTATTTCTTATTAATAAGTATGTATGTTAAATATTAATAAGGGATATATTTTAAAGAATAATTTTATTTTGAAATATGACAGAGGAAAATGCATACTTCAATAATATCAGAGTTTCTAGGGAACGATATTGTGTACTTGTTTGTCTAAACACATTTTATTTGGGGTTTAGTATGAATTTTCAATAGATTTTTTTCAGATAAGAAAGCAGTAATTCAAATGCAATTGTGTAAACAAGAAGATTAGAGGGGAATTATCCTGAAGGATATAAAATGAACCAAGAGCTTTCAGTCTGGGTCATCACAGCATCAGATCACCAATGCAAAGTAAGGTAGGTGTCTATAATGAGAATGCTCTGTGAAATGAGATGTTCTTATTCTAATATTTTTATTTTCACATTTATTAAAAATAGCAAATGCCAAGAGATAATTAGCTTCAGTAGGCTCTAAAATTTTTAATTGCTTCTCCAAATTGTTCACTAGTGAATTAAGGTAAGTGAACTACATATGTAAGAATAAGAAAAAAATTCCATTAACTTAATGGAAGAGAAAAGACAGATCAGTTCCCTAATGAAGGATGATTGATATGTGTTTTTCCTGTTTATATTTCAATTTGAATGTTTTTTTATCAAATAATCTACATATTAAATCCTGTCAATTACTAATGGTCATCTTTGATGAAAATATGCTTCTGGAAATCTTAGAGTATATTCAGTTTTGAGTACCTTCAGGGATAATGAACTCTGTATTAAAAGGTTCTTTTAGTTACTTAATAGCTATACCCCTTTGGATAGGGTCCAACACACATACACATGCTATATGACATTTTGCTTTAACGAGGTTGGGGGATTCCTCATACGATGGGTAGTTGACTCTTTCCATAGTGTAGTAAGGAATTTGTAGAGAAAAGATTGGGGAAGGAAATTAATAGAACAGAGAGAAATGTATTTAGTAAGAATAAAAGTATGTAGTGAGGGCAAAAATAAGAGAGAAAAGAAAGATAAAGGGGCAAAAGATAGCACATATTTTGGAATAAGGAAAAACGCTGAAAGTGGAGACATCTCCATGACATGCCTCTGAAGAAAGCATCTCTCACTATTTATGTAGGTCCTGTCTGAATCATGCCTTCTGTGTTCAGGTGGCTATTATTGCTATTATTGGCCGTGTGTGTGTGGGGAGTGTACACATACTATTTTAGCTTTTTCCAAATCCTCCTTCTGAGTATCCTGACAACATAAACGTAATAGATTCTTTTAATTTTCTTTGATTTAGCATGACTGCTATATTCCTGATATCCATGATCTTTGGCCTTGCATATGGGCAAGCAATGTCTTTTTGCATTCCAACTGAGTATACAATGCACATCGAAAGGAGAGAGTGTGCTTATTGTCTAACCATCAACACTACCATCTGTGCTGGATATTGTATGACACGGGTATGTAGTTCATCTCACTTCTTTTACCTGTGAATTATATGAACCCTAGAAGCAGTTCGTTCCTATCTAGAAGGGAGATAAGATCAATTACAACCTCATTTGCCAAATCTAATGATCATTGGCTCTTTAGAGGTAGAGTACACATTACAGTATTATGTGGGTCTATTCAGTATGATGGGTACAGATAATTTTATAACAGCTTTATGTCTCAGATTTATTTAAACCATATCTTATGATCAAGAATCAAAGAGAGGGGGCCAGCAGATGGTGTGGTGGTTAAGGCACTGGAATTTCCACATGGCCGACCACAGTTCAAGTCCTGAACCTGGAAGATGTGTTTTATCACTCTCCCTCTCTCTGTCTTTCTCTGGAAAACTTATGTGGAATAAATAAATAAATAAAATAATTCTTTAAAAAAAATCAGAGAGGAAGGTGTCAGTGCTTGTCACTGTAGGATTCTGTGTTGGTGGTATTAAGTTGGTACTGATGAATGGGGCTAAGAAATCCTTCCCTACTCATATTTGTGACAAAAGAACATACACAAATTGATTTTTATGTTTCTATTATTTATATATTTCTTAAAGTCCTATCACATTATGCTCCATTTTCTGTTCCTTCCTCAGGATATCAATGGCAAGCTGTTTCTTCCCAAATATGCTCTGTCCCAAGACGTCTGTACATATAGAGACTTCATCTATAGGACTGTAGAAATACCAGGATGCCCACATCATGTTGCTCCTTATTTCTCCTACCCTGTTGCTGTAAGCTGTAAGTGTGGCAAGTGTAATACTGACAATAGTGACTGTATACATGAGGCCATTAAGACAAACTACTGTACCAAACCTCAGAAGTCCTATCTTGTGGGATTTTCTGTCTAACTTTAATAGCACTATACTTTGTAATTTGGTTAAATGCATTCACTGGAATAAAAATAATAAAATATGACATTATTTCACAATATCTTGTGTGTATGTTGAGTACTATTTAATCCATACTGATACCCATGCAAACATTAGAATGCATAAGGGATTTTAGAAGAAAAGGTGAATAAAAGAGACTTTTGAGCTCCTATGAAGGCTAGTTTTCACATAAACGGGCAGAGAGGAGGTAAAAAGGGGACATGCTAATGAAAGCTTGTCTTGAGCAGGCTGTCGTAACAGAAGGCCAGGAGGTTCGTCTTGATGTAGAAAGCAAACGTGGGACCACGAGTTATGAAGAGAGGGTAATGTGACCAGAATCTACAGGAATACTTGGTGTCAAGATACTAGAGACACCTACTGCCAAAGGCCAGAAGTGTAGGGCTAGAGTTGGGGTGGTGGGAGGTAAGGAATATGGTAAATCTATAATATACTGCTCTATCCTAGTCATTCAAATGAACTGGATAAAACCACCAACACTCAATAAAGAGTATGGGAACTAATTTCCTTAATTTAATTACTCTGGTGGGCCAGTTGACCTATAAAAGTTATACCCCAAAAGGTCAACTTACAAAGCCTAGAAAAGAGGCCACTATCATTTTACATATGGATGTCTAAATCCTTCATAGTCCTTCAAGTAATAGGAGATAATTTTCAGTGTTTATACCAAAAGCAACTTGTGCTGTTTTTGCTTTTGATGTCATGAAAAATTAGTGCAATTATGAAAGGTTTTAGGGACATGGGGTCAGGTGCTAAGCAGTTTAAAGTAGAATCATCTTAAATTTAAATCTAAACCTTTTTTGGTACTGAAGTATTGTGTTCTGGTAAATATGCTTAGTGAGAAGCTGTTTATTTTTTCTTTCCTTTTGTGAGAGTCTGGTTTCAACAGATTCTTGAAATGAGAAAGACCTAGTGCTCTGCAGATTTGACCTTAAAAAGACTATTTATCCTCTATTAGTCCATTACTCTTCATCTACACTGCTACCATTAAGGTGACAATCAGTTGAGAGCAAGGCCATTAGCTTTGTTGTATTCCACAGCTACTGGTTAAATTCAGCTAGGCATTTTATAAATGTAGATTTAGGTGTTGCAGATAGATGAGTACAAAGCCCATACTTTGCTAACAGGGAAGGAATAATTGGGTATTTACATACAAGAGACTCAGGAACCTGCATGATTTCTATCTTAATATCTAAAGCTGATATTTGCATGTTCACCAAATATTAGCTTGGGGCTTTGGAATTTTTATATCATTTGCTAAAATGGACATTTAAAGTTATATATCACTTAAAACTGCATATCAAATATATATGTTTGATAAATGGATCTAATGTTTAAACCTTACTGGTACTAGTTATGATGACTTTCATGGATTCTTAAACAAAATGTTTTCAAAGACTTATATATTGGGAAAGTCTGTATGGAGTCCCCTATCGATAGATGAGATCAGAAGGCACTGGATGTTGTCAACCTGCAGGGAGGAAGCTAGGCCTGGATGTAGGTGTGCTGCTCCTGCACCATCACGGGTCATGGAACCTTAGAGTAGATGCAACTTGTTTCTCCCACTGAAGGCAATTCTTTGGGATTGATACACATATGAATTATTAAACTATTCTTGAAAGTGGAGTTGTCCAAGAGAGAACCTTTAGGATAGAGTTTAGGGATTGGGATGATCAACATCTTGCCTCAACTGGATCCAAAGATTTAGGTACATAAATATGTTGTTTTGGAGCGTCTTGGTGTTCTTTGGTTCAAGAGAGGATGAATAGAGAACTTAAAAATGGGAAGGTGAAGAAACATTGTCTGTGTAGTGGAAAAATGGAAGCCAGGACATCTTCTTCAAGTGATCCTTAAATTCAACTCAAGGTTTAAATCAATCAGTTCTTAGCAATGAACATTTGAGACTCAGTGCTTTAAAAAGAGGTCTCTTATTCCTTATTTGACTCTGAAATATAAAGGAAATTCCAGAAATAAAAGCTCTTTTATAAAAAAAAAATTGCCCCTTCCCCTTTTTAAAGAGCAGCAAGGGACCCCCAGATGGCATAGTGGCTATGTCACTGGACTCCCATGTGGCTGACTGCAGTTTGAGTCCTAGGCTGGTGGCTTGAAACGCACGCCAGGCGTGTGTGTGTGTGCTCAAGTCCCAGGAGGAAAATGGAGAAAGGATTGTGCCGAAGCCATTCCCCGGGGTGGGGGGGGGGGATTTCTCGCTTTCCCTCTCACTGTCTCTCTCTGGTGACTGCACATGCCCTATAGCAAACCCCCCTAAAATAAATAAATAGAGTAGCAGGTCTGATTCTAAGTACAATACAAATTGTTTTATCAAGGTAACTTCTACTCTAACCCTACTGTTCAGTGTTGAGTTCCTTCCTACCTTCTCCTCTCTGTTGGTTAATTCCTACTTATCTTTTAAGACAACTATCTTTTTTTGCAATCCTTCTTTCACTTGCTGTTTCTGCCTGCTTAGCATCCCTGTCTCTTCTGGTAGCACCTTTATTTTCCTTTGGGGATTCTCTTTGCTACCACTTTCAGTTCAAATGGGGTTGATGGGGGTAGGCATGCTACTTGAACTCAGCTAAACCTGATTCTTTAAGGGATGGGCATGTGACTCAATCTTTTCCAGTAGGAGTCAGTCCCAGGGTTTTTATTATAAAGAGAAGGGCCAATTGTCCCCATGATATCAGGACAAAGATTCCTTAAGTAGTTTTAAGTAGTTTATCAGGGCCTTTTATCTTCTCAGCTCTTGACATGCCCTCTCTGTTGCTGGCTCTTCTTGCATATTGTTCTCCACTGATCCCCTTTTCTTCTTGTACTCTTACCAATTTTAAAAAATTGCCAGAGGTCACATGTGCTCAACAGAGGAGAGCCAAGGGCTGGGGAAGCAGGAGTGAGAAAGCACCCCCTACACACCCCTCCATGGGGAGTGGTCATGCCACAATCCTTTCTTGATTTTTTTCCCTCTGTTTGAGATTTTTGGGCATGTATGCACATGTGCCCAGAGTTGTTTTTCAAACTGCTGGGTCTGGAATCCCACATGATTGGGCCATATGGGATCCAGCCACCATAATCACCACACCAAGGGCTGATCTCCCTTATCACTTTTCACTTTGCTAATCTGTATAGGTTTTTTAGGACTCAGTTTGGAGAATTTACCATCCAGAAACCTCTCTCTCTGACCACCTCTCCAAGGCCGAGCAGGCCCACTTTGGGTTAATACTGATCATAGCACTTATTTCATGGTAATATACCTGCCTGCTTTTCTCCATTGCAAGCTCCTTGACAGCAGAGACTTGTCTTGCCCATCTTAGCCTATCAGTATTCTTTTTCTTTTTTTCCTCCAAGAATTATTTTATTCATTTTTATTTATTTTTTAATTTTAATTTGACCAGAGCAAGAGAGAGGGGAAAGAGAGGGGGAAAGTAGGAAAGCAAGCAGCCAGGTCCGGGACTCGAGCTACGGTCAGCCATGTGGGAGTCCAGCGCCCTTAACCATCATGTTGCCTGCTGGCCCTGCCTATCAGTAGTCTTACAAAGAACATTTTTTGGATGCATAAGAGTAACTCCCAAAGTAAAAAATCAATTTCAACATTACTATGGATTGCATCTTATAAGATAGATAGGCCTAGAGAAAAGCATAGGAACTATTATTATTGATATCAAGTCTTTGAATTAAAACAATTGCGAAATGTATCAAAAGCTATTCATTAATTTGACAAATAGATGTGTTCAAATAGATAATTGGTACACAGAAGTATCTTCAGTTATGCATTTCTTGAAAAGTGTGTGATTTATAATTAACAAAAACTATCAGAGTGTCAACATAATTACAATAGCTAATATTCATTAGTTACAATGTGTGCTAAGCACTTTATATTAATTATTCCTTTTGAGTCAATTTAATTTTCTATTTAATATGAGTAAAAACATCAGAAATTATACAAAAACTAAAACCATAAATAAGCCCACGAACAAAATCAAAGCTTCAGAAGGTTTCTGGCACATTGGCTAAAAGCTTGATGAAATCAGTACAAATTATGCTTTGTACCATTCAGGACATTTTACTTCTTTATGCTTTCCCTGTCTTTAGCCATTAAACAATGGCTTCCTGGAATGTATTTTACCTTCATTGTTAAAATGATACTAAATAAATAACATTCTGCATTGGTATAGTCTTTTTATCTTCCAAGGACACCTATTATAATATATCTAATATTTTACAGGTACATTTTATAATAAAAAATGAAGCCATATTGAAAGAAAGTAAAAACCTCTGTTCTTTTAAAAATATACCTTAACACAAATTTGATTTTGATGAGTATAAACTAAGATGATGCATTTAATCTAGTAGCTTTAAGGACCCATAAGTGCTTCCTCTTAGGGGTGGGGAACCTGGAGTTGCTGAAATTGAGGAACTGGTGGTCAAAGAATGTCAAAGTGGGCTGAGAACCAGGAAAGAAGGGGTGTGATACATCTACTGAGGCCCCAGTGGAGGCTGTTGGGGTCATGAAAACCATATCTTACCAAAAACAGGAGAGCATCTCTTTCTTTTAATCTTTAATAAACTTATTTCAGGAAGGAAATCATGTTGTCTTCTTCAATGCCATCTTCCTACCAGCCCCACTGAAACTTAACCAAACCTGTTAGCACTGCTGATGAGGAAAGGAGAGTGACTACTGTTGCTGACTGTGTGTGGGACCACACTGGACCCTGCATCCCTGTGCAATTTTACAGATCGAATCCCACATAACAAAGGAACTATTCTGGAGAAAACAGATAAATTCAGATAAAAAACAGTAATTAAAATACAAGTATATGCAATGAAAATCCTTAGTGTATTGCTTTTAAGACATCCTCCCAATACTAACATTATAGAAGGGTTACCACTAATTTTTCACCATATTCTTTGAGTTGATCAGTTGGACAGTTAGGTTGGCTGTTTGAAGATGTGTAGAAAGATACAATAAGATGACTTTAAGATAAATCAAACAAGCAATTTGCAGTACATAGAAAATTTAATTTGAAATAACTTAAAATACTTCATCATTAGGAAGTCTTGATTCAGTGCCTTGGCACTGGAAACTTAAGAAAATGTGTGGGTCTAATCTCAAGTTAGTTCAGGTAAACAAGTAATTGAAAATGTAGAAGTGTGTGCAAACATATATATACACACACATTTATACATTCACACATACATGTATACATATTTCAAAAGATATAGATTCAAGATATATATATATAGATTCAAGATATACAGGGAATATATGAGTTTCTATGTATAGATATGACTATATCTATTCACACACACATACATATCTCTACCTATATATTTATTTTTATGTGTGTGTATAGATATATAAATATAAATAAAATCTACTCTTACTCCATGGTGGAATTCTCTAATTTTATTCATGGCACATGTTTTGGAAAGCTAGCTTGTCCCCAAAAGGGGCACATCAGTTATATATGGACGGATCTCTACTCTTATATTTTTTAATTAAAAAAATAAGAAATAATTTATTTTGGGTGCCAGGTAGTGATTCAGCAGTAACTCAGCTGGACCTAGTAAAGGTCCTCAGTTCAAATCTGGGGACCTCCCTTCGCATGCTGGGTACATGACTGGATTTAGGAGTGGATCATGGTGTGAAGACTCTGTTAGGATTCTCTCTCACTGTCTCTGTCTCTCTTGAGGAGGAAAAAAAGATTACTTTTTAAAAAATGTTAAAAATAATTTATTTCTACTCTTATTTTTTAAAATCTTGTAGTCTTTCTTAAGGCTGTTAATTCAGATAGGAATGAAACTCACTTTTGTGTGATCAGAGATGATTCTGGGCTGGAAGGATTCTGAGTATGCACTTAGGCCTGTTTCCTGTCTTCAAGTGGACAGTTGAACTAAAGCTGCTAAGAGAGACTATTCTTTGTTTATTCCATTTCTCAACTACTGGGATACAGACATCTATTTTATGAAATAATTTTCTTAAAATAATCTTTTCTTTACTTACAAACACAGCAAAATTGCCACACACGACTGTGTGTAGTCCCTTCCAATCTACCTTTTTTTCCTAGATATGTTTTATCCAATGATAGCAGTAGTAAGTGTGGCAGAAAGAGAAACATGGTTCTTTATGTTAGTGAGATTATTCAAGCAGTTATGGCTTTTCAGCAAAATGTTTTGTAAACATTTCTTGGAAGCATGATAGTTTCCTTTAGTGTGTACTCAAAGACTTGCTTTCTCAGGTGTATAAGATGCTCACTTGGGGGGGTCCCTAAAGTCCCCTATATTTTCACTTTTGTGTGGTCTTTTACAATGTAATTTTTTAAAATCCATGATTTATAAAATATTACAAGTTAAAAATGACTGATGGGCCTAGTTGTGGTGGCATGAGCTGCTGAGAGGCTATTGGGAGACCTGGGTGTTTGAATCCTTTCAGCCTAACGACTAAGAAAGCTGGCACATCTGGAATCCTAGTGACAGAGGGAGGTTGTGGCAGGATGACTGTGAGCTTGAGGCTGGCCTGGGCAACATAATGAGGCCCTGCCTGAAACAGCCAGGTGGTGGTGGCATGCACCTGGGATCTCAGACACCTGGAAGGCTGAGGCAGGAGGACTGTGACAGAGCAAGACCCTATCTAAAAAAGAAGATTATAAAAGCTTTGAAAAATCACTGACAAATATGCCAGCTTAGACCCTAAATGTGAGTTTATATATTTAAAATCAATCATTAAGACCAAAATAACCCTGAAATTTTTGTTTTATAGGAGTTTTGCACAGAAAGAACATATTCATGTATGTACATATAATTATTTTTATTTCCTCAACTTTTTTCTGTTGTGTGTATACCCTAGGAAAAGATGCTCTTCTTTGTTTATTTTGGTTTGGCTAAGGATAAACATAGTATTTGAATTATAAGGGAATTTGTTTAAGTGGTGAAAACTGTAGTTTTTAATTTATGAAGAATTATCTAAGTGAATAAATAAGAAAAGTATAAAAAATTTTGGAAAATCGTAAACTCAAGTTATGAGGTATTTCAAAGGTACAGTGCTAGAGAAATTCTTCCCACAATTTGCAGCTATCGAATCTCTTGCTTTAGTCTTTCTGTCCTTAGCTTTAGAAAAACAGAAGTTTGAGACAACAGCCCTTTTAAGAATGTGAGGGTTAACAGTAGTACAGAGCAGAGTCAGAAAAGTAAAGTAATAAAGCAAATATTTACATATTTTTGTATAAGAACAAAAATATTTCCTTAAAAAGTTGTTATTTTATATTTTTTAGTCCTAAAAACATTCACTTACTTAGGGCACATGATTGTCGTAGTGACTACTCTTTTCAAAGAAAAGTTTTTTTGTTTTGTTTTGTTTTGAAATACTGGGAAAGCATGACTTATTCAAATTAGATTTTCCATGCTATATTTAGTTTTATAGATGTGTTTAGTTCTAAAACTGTGGTTTACTGTATTCTGGGGAGAGCATGTATATAAAAAAAATCCCAGGAAACGTTTACATCGAACTCAGACAATTTTAACACTCCACTGTGATCTCTCACTTCCTCTAGCTTATTGCTTCTATTAACTAGAAATCCCTGAATTCTCTGTATATAATTTTCTAAAGAGAGAGTCTGAGAAACTAACCCATTCTGCTTTCTCTAAAAAGTCACATTTTAAAAGTTTCTCAAAACTTTTTGATCTTTTTCTGGGAGTTAAATAGGTTATTACTCTTATATAACAAGAATCAGGAATTCCCAGCAAACAGATTTCATTCTGAGTTATGTATATACCAGAAACACACAGATCACACGTGAATATGCTCTCAGTCAACATCCACAGGCATTCACTCCAGGAGTAAACCAGCACTGAGCCAGACATACATACATGTGCAAAAGTACAATTGACAGCAAATTATTTTAGATCCGAACGTCCTCTGAATATTAAAAACCAGCTGGAAGACAGCTCCTGTGACATTTAGTATAAAAGCTCTACATTGCAATTTTCACGCAGAAGTAACTTCATATCACGTCTCGTGAGTTTCGTATTGCACAGCAAAGGACCATGCTGAATATCATGCCAAAGATCTGAAACAGAAGGGATCACCAGTTAGTGACTTTAAAATGTGTACTGACTTGATAAAAAGGTCAGCAAACTTCCTAGGTATCTAACTGAACAAGTAATTATAATCAATAATGACTGGTTACAAATAACCAGTATCAGATGTTACTTAATGATGGCTACTGGAGAAAAAGATCTATATTAACTCTGCTTAAAATGCATTACTGTATTATTATTAACAAACAACAAGGCCATGGTCTAAGAAAAGGGCTCTGTTTCTGTCTTATAGACAGTTCTTATTAATTGTGAAAGACTTGGTTTGGGAATGTTATATTTTGGGCTAAACCTAGATCTCTTTTATATGTTCATTTTGAAAAATGTGTTTATTACCACTTTTTACAATGTGCTTATGGTCTAAGTAGCTTTCTATTATTGGAATGGCTTTGAATTTTCACAATAGTGACCATATTTTAAAAAGTGGGACATCTTGGGACCAGCAGATGGCATAATGGTTGTGTTGCTAGACTCCCATATAATCGACGGTGGTTCGAGTCCTGAACCCCGTGGCTTAAAATTCACACTGGGTGCGTGTGTATGTGTCCCCAAATTCCCAAGAGAAGAATGGAGAAGGAGGTATTGCAGTGTGGCCAAGCCTCCTGGGGGGGGGGGTGATTTCTCATTTTCTATCTCTCTGTCTCTGGTGAGCACACATGCCCTATAGCAAAAATATCTTTAAAAAAAAAAAAGTGGAACATCTTTTCATTCCTGGTCAATTTCTCAGTGTAAATGATGCTTCACTTTAAATCAATAGTTTTGCCAAAGCATGAACAGAGGTGTTTGAATTATGGTATTACTGACTTCTACCTCTTGGATAGTTTTCTGAGAAGCCAAATACCTGGATGAAATCAATATCCACTTACCTGGTTTGAATAGAAGAATGTCAAAAGATTCATCTTGTCCACAATGATTCAAAAGATTCTTCTTGTCCACAATGATGTCCCCTACAATTTTGCAGAGCCAGTGGAACCCTATCTGTAGGCACCATTATATAAGCTACTGTCAATATTTAACACCACAGTGGTATACTATACAACACTGGTACCATAACTGGTTATCTCCTCAATCCTGTGCAAAGTCAGACTAGGATCTGTAAATGCTAAATTCAACAAGGCATGACTGATTTGTTGTTTTGGAAAGAGAAGAGCAGACTTAAGTGAGGACATTGCTAGAGGCAGGATTTCTAGCTTCTAGATGACATAACTCAGTTCCAGTGTGCGGTGGGGAGACACCTAAAGGACATTTGGTTAACTGATTACTTTGATCTTACAAAGTAAAGAAACTCAGGGTAAACCACTGAGGGCATTTCCCCTTCACCGTAGCTGTAAGGTTGGATGCAACCTCCACCTTATCCTGGTTGTACTCTGAAGGGATTCCTCAGAAGGAATCTCTCAGCCTGCCACTGTTACGAGTCAGAGGTGACTGCTTCTAGACTGCCCATTTTTTTTTTTTTGAGAGATTTTCACTGTAGGGCGCATGCGCTCGCCAGACAGACAGAGAAAGACATAGAGACAGAAAGCGAGAAATCACCCCCCAGGGGGGATGGTCACGCCGCAATCCCTTCTCCTCCATTCTCCTCTCGGGATCTTGGGCACGCACGCACATGCGCCCGGCGTGAGTTTTTTAAGCCACCGGGTCCGGGACACGAACCGCGGTCGACTACGTGGGAGTCCAGCGACATAGCCATTACGCTAACTGCTGGTTCCCTAGACTGCCCATTTTTTGAGACTGTAGAATTGTTCAGAGGGTTTATTTGACACCTCCTTCCATGTGTAGCATGTTTTCAAACCTCCTGCTTCAGCACTGTCCTTGGGGAGCTGCAGAATCACAACCAGACAAACCTAAGAGCAGATGGGGAGGGTCTGAGAGATGTCCCTGAATTTAGCGGTCCTCAGTAGAGTGTCTCTAGTCACTGCCCCTTCCGTCTGTACATGGAAAACAGAAAAGGGGGAAGGTGCTGTGTGTCCCCTGAGAACTGCCAGTTAACTGATTTCCTCACAATTTCACAATTCCTCTGCTTTACTGTAGACCACCAGCTAATTTACAGAGGCTAGAGAGTAAGTGCTACCTTAGCATTAGCTATTATCACTTGACACCAGGGGAATGAAAATAACTCACTTCCCTGACTCTAACTTCATCTCCCTCCAGTCTGTCCTCCATCCTGCTCACAGGTCCTTCCAAACCTTGGTGGCTCCACTCTTCTTGAAGATGGAACCCAACCTCTCAAAAGGGTATAACAAAGACTTCAATAATGTGGACCTGCTGACCTCTCTAGGGCCATCTCTTGCTACTCCTCCTATACACACTACCAATTCTTCCTGCATACACTTCTTTTGTACTTAGAAACATTGAACTACCTGCAGAAGCTTGGATGCATTATGTTTCACGTCTGTTATTTCTCATGTACTACTCTCTGTGGATGCTGGGTTTGGGAAGACAGATTATATGGAGTTGGCATTTATCAAATCCGACATATTCCAGGTACTTTTAATGAATTAATTTTAATATGCATCCCATGTAATCATCACAAAATCTTATGGGGTTCATATATTAGAATTTCCATGTTACGGATGTGGGAAATGAAGCATTAAGAAACTTTCCTATGATCTCGGGACTTGTAAGTAGTGGAGGAGGGGCTGCGTTCTGAGCGCAGTGCCAGAGCTGGCCCTGTTAATCGCTCTGCTAGGCTGCCTCTTCAAGTCACAGGAGAGAGAGACTGACCTGTTATACTACTTTGGATTTCTCACAGTAGGAGGGAACCTAGATTTGAACATCACTTATCTTGGTTAAGATTAGTGGCTCTAACCTAGATAAGTAGGAAGTTTTCGAGATGACAAATTCGAGGTCATAATTAGGTAAAAGTTGAAATTTGTATCATATGTTAGAGACTAAACATTGATGTATTTAATTAGCGTTGTTCTTAGAAGAAGGTACGGTGAACAAATGTCTTTGTCCTTTATAAGAACTCTATGACACTGCCTGATCACATTTGCAGAGAAATAAGGTTCAAAGGTTCAAGAATTCTTAGAGGGCAAAAGTAGTAAGTTCTGGAACTTTCTCACCGTGAGACCTGCAATTCCAATACCGACAATTCCAATGAGCTGGAGCTTAACATTGATTACGGTCTCAATCTCATCAATGCAATTCTGTTTTGAGAAAAAAAAGTCAGAAATAAAAACTGCATGTGTGAATCATCACCTTGAGCCAATCCTTTCCATTTCTAGAGATCATCCTGTGAGAGTTAATCCATGTAACCTGCTCATGTTTAAACCATTCCTCTTGGATAACATCATTCTGAAAAACTTAAGAGCAAAAATGTAGTTTGGGGAAACAATATAATCCTTTCCTTTTGGTGGGATTTTCCTATTTAGGCCTGTGGCTGCTTCAGAGTCCTGAACTCTGGTTGGAGTAAGCTATTTCTCTCTTATCTGAGAAAAAACATTTAAAAGCTTGGGGCCTCTTCTTAGTTTCAGCAAAGAAAAATAAGGAAAGATCCCTAAGATAATAACCCCTTGTTTTTGCATTGTCATTTACAGTTGAAAAGACTTCCTATGTACATGATCCGATTTACTATGCAACATAGGAACATCTATCTAGGTTCAGATTAAACAATGGCTAGTCAAGACTTAGGAAGGCCATGTCTTTGGACCTAGAGGATCATTCTTTTCTCTGTTGGCTGGGCTGGGCAGGGTGGGTCTCTGTCCTTTCATTGGTGCCATAAGAGGCTCATAAAGAGCAGGTTCAAAGGACCTTCTGAGATGGAAGAAAAGTTGGACAAGGGACAGAAAAGAGTACCTGTGACCATTATGAATTTCCCTAGCTTCAGAAGTTTCTATTTGGAATCCTCTTAAGCAGTGGTTTGCTCTTTATTATTATTATTAAAATTTATTTAATACATTCAATCACTGTACATCACTACAGCTTGTAAAATGAATTTACCCAACATGAACTCACTTCCCACCAGTCCAATTGAAGATATCATACATGTTATCATCAATAGACAATCTTCCATTTCTGTGTCCTTCAAATGTCTTACCTCTCTATTTTTCTCCTTAATTCCTTTCTCTCATCCCCTTCTATCTCCCACTGTCTTCCCACACTGTCTCCAGTGTCTGTAACCATTTTTCATTTTTCTATATCCTCTAATCTTTCGGTTTCTGCCAGAGTGTGGACAGTTGGTATATATTAAGTGGAGACATACAATGTTTCTCTTTCATAGCCTGGTTTGTTTTGCTCTTACCCTAATTGCATTCTCAGGCTGTTCAGATTGTTTTACTTGTCACTGCTTAGGTCCCTCAGATACCCACATAAGTTATATGAAACCCTCATTGCCCTACTCATGTTTCCTATTGTACTTCATTTATTCATTTAACAAACATTTCTTGAGCATCTACTTTGCATCAGACACTGGAATGGGATGGTAGAGGTGGAGGGTGGAGACAATAAGACACGGTTTCTTCTACTCTCCAGGAGCTCACAGAGAAGACACAGATCCACCGAAAATAATTCGAATACATTCTGGTAAAGGTTCGAACACCACTTCTCTAGACAATGGCTCTATTACTTACTAGAGAAAATTGACATCAATCTATAGCAGTTCTCTCCTTCACCTGTATACTCAGATGCTCCCTTCCTTCAGCACAGGCACTGTCTCGGGTAGTGCGCACACAAAGGGAACAAGTAGTACTACTCCCAACTTCTTTTCTTCTCATCAGAACTGAAGAAGGTTCCTTCTCTGTTGACTGTGAATGCCTTATCTGGCTCTCAGTCTTGTCCCTCAAGAAGCCTGTGCTGCAGGAATCTTCTACAGTCAACCTCTCCTCCCTAAGCATTTCCACTCATCCTATAATGCCATGCTCAAGTTGTCCCATCTAAAACAAAAACGACCTCTCTCAAGTCTGTCTGGTTCAAGTTCTACCAAAGTCCCTTCTTTCCTTCATAGCCAGGCCTTTTTGCAAAAAACAAACTAACTGAAAATTTTCAGAATCAAAATGAAGTAATTTGTGTCAACTTGTGTTAAACCCTGACTGAACATAGCTGGGGAGGGCCCTGAAGGAGTAGTTTTCATGCCTGTATGCCACATAACAAGAGCTGTTGTAAAGACTGTCAGAACCATGGCCTTGCACAAAGACTACTGACACCTCACACAAAACATACTTCTGCAAGGACAGCTGCCCAGAAACTGCCTGTCCAACTGAGGACTGATATGTCATGCTACGATCCTCCTACCTCAGCCTCCCAGATAGCTGGGACTATCGGCCTGACCACCATGCCTAGTTCTGAGGTTGACGTGGGAATTGAACATGGGTCTTCCCTGTGGTTCTAGCTGTCCAACAGTGTGGTGCCTATTAGTGTAGCTGAGCCAATATTTTGTTCTTATGAATAACACTGTGATGAACACTGTTAAAAATCTGTCCATGTGTCTGACTCCTTTTCCTTAGGATAGGTTCTGAGAAGTGGAATTCTTGGGTCAAAGGGCATGGATGTTATTAACTCTCTAGTCTTACACAGTCATACTGAACTCTAAAATGACTGTACTAGGGGCTGGTGGGTGGCATGGCAGTTAGGGTGTGGGACTCCCACATGGTCGACTAGACCTGGTGGCTTGCTTTCTCACTTTCCTCCCCTCTCTGTCTCTTTCTGATCAAATTAAAAATAGTAATAATAATAATAAAATTAAATAAGTAATTCTTAAAAAATACAACTGTACTGAGTTTCTGAAAATGCTCATTTCATATCATTCTTGCCAAAACTGTATGTTATTATTAAGGAAAGAAAAAAATAACTTGGCCAATTTCAAAGGTTAAACAGTAACATCTCTTCATTTTAGTTTACTATTAATTCTTAAGAGTACCTTTACTAGCCCAGATTTTCAAATGTGCTGAGTGGTAATTTGGACTTCATCTTTATGAGTGCTCTTTTGTGCCCTTGGCCCAGAGCCCTTCCTCTCCCCATCTCCCTGCAGTCCGGGCTCTGTCCTTGCTCCCTCGCACCAAGTCACCAGCTACTTCCTTAAATGCTAAATTCTGTCGGTGTTCAGCAGTTATCTCAGTGGACCTCCCTGGGCTTTTAGTTTTCCACACAAATCATCACATTTTCTGCCCTATGTTGTTGCCCATGCTGCTCTCTCTGCAAGCCAGCTCCCCATACCTCTGTCGCGGCCAGAGCTAACACAATTCCTTGCTATTTGGACAGACTTAGCCAGACATCATTACCTTAGTAAGCTTTCCCCTCTGGCTTCTATGACACCATGCCCCCTCCGGTGCTGCATCTATTTCTGTGTTCACTTCTCCTATCAGACTGCAAATTTTGGGGGACTAAAGACTTCTCATTCACCTTTGCACCCACAATGCCTGGCATAGGGCAAGCAGTTGATTAACACAACTGGACAGACCTCAGTGGCAGCACCTGGCTCTGGTGACCATGCCTTCCCCTCCCCTGTTATCTCCTCACTTGTGTCTGGCTGTGCCTCTGTTTCCTTATTTGGCAAGGCTTTTCCCACCCTTAAATGTTGTTTCCCACGGTGTCCTTGTTTTTCTTTTCTTCCAAATCTTATGAATCAAATCCCTATCAATAGTTTCAAAATTCCCATAAAATACTGACACTTGAATCTCCTTCCTGAACCACAAACCAGATTTCCAGTTGACTATTGGATTATTTATGTTCTATTGGTTCTTCCAAATCGACTCACTTTTGTTTCTCCATGAGTGGCTCCTTCTCCTTTACCACTCAACTTAATAAATGACACCACCGCCTATGCATGTGGCAAAGCCACAAAACCGGCAGTGATACTTTCCCTTCTCTGAGATCTGACTGGTCTTCAGTCTTACAGGTTTTGCTTTCTAAATGGCCTTTTCTCTCCATTCCTGACTCAGACCAGCTTGCACCAGTTAATGTCTGACAGTGAGGGTAGCTGCTGTCCCAACCAGCCTCCTGAGCTCCGTGCTATTCATTTTCCATCAGTCTTGCTCTGCCTCTGGAGCCAACTCAGTAAAATGCAAATCCTATCTCAGAGTCTACCTTCGGCAGCTTGCTAAGTCAGCAGCATGAAGCCTAGTTTGGGTTTCACAAGAGTATCCAAGGCCCTTCCAGAATAGTTCTTCCTCTTAGAAGTACTCAGCTCCCACAGGCACCCTGGGCTTTCAACCACTCCCTGTTGGGATACTTACCCGAATACCAGAACTTTCTCTTGCCTCCAGGCCTTGCCCTATCCCCTCTGCCTGGAATATACCACTCTCCTTCACTTGCTTAGTGAACTCCTATTCAGAATTTATCTAATCACACAGAGGCAGCCTCCTGAGGATGCCCTGGGGGAGTCTGCTCTGCTCCCTCTGGTGTGGCCAGCACCCAGCCCAGGTGGCGTTCAGGGCTCCTTTGTACATCTCCCTAGCCACATGTGAGTGCTTTTGGGGCTGCATCTTGTTCATTTCCTTCAACACAGAAAGCCCCAAACAGTGTTCAATGGGCAATTCATGCTAACACTGCACCCATCCCTTCACAGCCAAATACCCAATGGCATCTAGATCACTGTCTCCACATTCTCAGAGTTCCCTTCCTTTCCAAATCATACCTGTGCTCCTCCCAATAACTTGACTGAAACTGTATGGCAAAGGTCACTAGTGGTCTCCTAGGCAAGAAACCCAGCATGACATTTTCAGTCTTCAGTGATTTGTCCCCTTTCTAGCATTTGACTTCATGGGCAAGCCAGCTCTTCTCGTGACTTCCCAGATGCCACTGTCTTCGGACTCTCCCTGGCACTCTCCTTCACAGTCTGTTGCTCTGCCTCTTGTCCTCAGCTGACTCCTTAAGCAACAGTGCCCTTATTTTTTCCTTACCCTCTACACTACCTGAGTGTTCTCATTCCCTTGTATGGAGTCAGCTTCTGCCAGTATGCTGGGATTCCTACACCCATGCCTTCATCTCAGCCTGTCTCTAAGTCCCTGATGAACTCGATGAAAATGGAAGCTGCCATTTCCGATTGCTCCCTTCCCTTTATTCACCTCCATCAGTAGGACCTCACGCAGTCAGTCTCGCTAGGAGAAATCGAAAAACCCCAGCCTCCCCACTTTCACTTGCCGCTCATAAACCCTAGCAAGCTGCCAAGTCCTGTTGATTCTACCTGCTGACCTTTCCTGAAGGCGACTTCTCCATCTCTGCTGTCTGTGATTTGCTTCAGTCCCTCATGCTCTCTTACCAGGGACACCAGAGTCACCAAAGTGGTCTCTACCTGCTAGCTGGAGCACTCTTTCAAACTGATGACGTTCGTTCTCTGCTAAAAGCAATGTCTTCCTCAAACCTATGCCTTTGCCCACCTCTTCCAAGATGTCGCTCACCCCTGCCTCAGACTCCCTGTTCTCTTGCAGTCTTGGAGTTTTGCATTGTTTTGCCTCCATTCCT